GGCCGTTCCTGGTGTCAGTTTCCCAGCAGGGCGGGGCTTGTCTGGAGAATTCGACCAATCCTGTGAGCAGAACGAATTGCCCCTGGACCGGGCCTGCACCGGGGCGTGTTCTGTCAAGATCTTGACCAATCTTAGGCCAGGTTCCAGGGCGGACTTTCAAGAGGATGGAATCAGGGCGGGCGTTCGGGCTTCGGGAGACGCACAGCCCAGCTCCGGAGGCGGGGCCTAGCGAAGGGCTCCTGCCAATCGTGCTAAGGCCCTGAGGGGGTGTGGCCCACTTTGGGGCGTGGCTGCCTGTTCCGGGCCTCCCGGGGGCGTGTCCGGCCTGGACCGCGGCGGGGGCCATGTCCGCGCCGCCCGCGTTGCAGATTCGCGAGGCGAACGCACACCTGGCTGCGGTTCACCGGCGCGCGGCGGAGCTGGAGGCGCGGCTAGAGGCCGCGGAGCGCACGGTGAGCGCCCAAGCAGAGCGCCTGACCCTCCAAGATCAGCAGTTGCGCGCCGCCCTGGACGAGCTGGGCCACGCCAAAGACCGGTGAGACTGGGATCCGGCCAGGTGACTTCCCAGAGGAGGAGGGCGGAGGCAGAGATGAGATTGGACGGGGAAGAAGAGTAGGAACCCTGTGAATTCACGTGGGGGCTGGACTGCTGATGGGATTGGAGGAAGAAAAGAAAAAAAAAAAAGAAATTCACAAAGCAAAACTCGGATTAGTCCTCAGGATGTAAATGAAGAAACACGTGTGAATTTGTAACTTCAAATAGCCTATTTTTCCCACAAGGCAAGATCAGCGGGTACTGACTGGCACAGGGAGCACCTACTCCCTGCTGTCGGCACTGGGAGCCATGGCAGTTTCTTGAGCAGGGGAAGATATGATCATATCAGCATTTTTGAAGAGTTCCTTTTGGCAGCTGAAGATTGAAAGAGATGAGACAAGTACCCAGGGAGGAGGGAGGACCTGGGGTCCAGATGGGAAACAAGGAATTCAGAGCTCATTTGATTCATCCATTTGTCTTTAATGAGCACCTGATATGTGCCAGGTGCTGGGCTGGGTCTGGAGCGCATTGGTAAGAGACAGACATATCACTGGGTGGTTATATCATGGGATGATCAAGGTTTGTGATGGGAGGGGGCAGATCACACAATCTCTGGGACCCAAAGGGAGGCTTCCTGGAGGAGCCATCAAAGCATTAGAAATGGGAAAAGATGTTGAGGATCAGGAACTGCAGAAAGATGGGGTGTGGTGAGCTGTTGTGGCTTGGGCTGCCTTAACAAAGCAGTATGGCTAGCATCTCAGAAAACAAGGTTCATTTCTCACAGTTCTGGAAGCTGGAAGTATGCAATCAGGGTGCCAGTTGGTTGGGTTCTGGTGAAAGTACCCTGGCTTGCAGACTTCCACCTGTTGCTTGTTCTTGGTGGCAGAGAGACTGAGCAAGCTCTCTGGTGCCTCTTCTTATAAGGACACTAATTCTGTCATGGGATCACAACCTCAGACTTCATTTAACCCTAATTACCTCCCAAAGCCTCCATCTTGTGGGTGGGGATTTAGGGCTCACATGAACTGGGTGGAGACACAGAGTCAGTAACAGAGAGGGGCCTGGAGGCAGTGGTGGGGACAGCCATGGGGAGCTGTGGGAGGGCTGGGAGTCGGGGGAACTGCCTCTCTGCTCTCCCACCATCCTAACTGCCCCGCTTTGCCTTCCTGCAGTGAGATTGCCGCTCTCCAGGAGCAGCTGCTGACCTCCGAGGCCGCCATCCACAGCCTGCAGGCTGCTGTGCGCCAGAGGGATGAACTCATCCAGCAGTTGCAGCCACGGGCCAAGCTGCTACAGGACATTTGTCGCCGGCGGCCACCCCTGGTCGCACTGCTGGCTGACCTGGCTGAGGCCGAGCGTCTGGGGCCCTTGCCAGCCAGTGACCCAGGCCATCTGCTCCCTAGTGGGCCTGGCCCACCCCTTGCCAACAGCACTGGTGAGAAGGCGGACCAGGACCACCCCCATCCTACGATGTTTGGGACCACAGTGTGAGCCTAGAGCAGATTCCAGAATGAAAGCAGAAGGCTCCTTTGGGGATTTCCACCTGTGTCTAGGGGCAGCCACGACCCTTTCCAAACATCAGAGCAATCTAAAAAGTTTCCAATTGGGCCCACAGGCCAAATACACATGTTTAATCTGACAAGTTAAAACAAACGACAAAACTTTGAATCCATCCTCTTGTTGAACAACTGGTGATGCTTCTGGAGAAGCTGGATATCTGGCTTCAGACCTGGCTGGCCTCGTCTGGCTCTGAGTCCAGGGTACCCTTTTATCCAGGGTGAGTTCTATTGGTGCCCTCACCTCTGAGGCTGTTGACCTGGCTCTGGAAGCATCTGAATTTGAGACCTCTGTCTGGTGGAGACAGATGGCCTCAAGTTCCACAAGATTTGTTGTCCTTTGCCTTGATACTGTTCCTCCTGACACACCCTAAAGTGTTTCTTAGCTTTTGACCTTGGACCACAGCTAGGGGCTGGAAGCCTCATGCCAATCTGCATTGACTGTGTGATGACACATTTCTATCCTAGATCTCTGTCCCCTAACTCTGACCTTTCCTCCACATTTACTCCCAAAGGATGAGCTGGCAGGGGTGACAGCCGAGACGCTCTCCTCAGGGTGCGCTGCCTGGGACTTGCACGCGGGCTCTTCTCTCTTCCTATAACTTTTCCCCCCAGATTGCCACATGATTGGCTCCTTGTCACTCAGGTCTTTGCTCAGATATTACCTCCAAGAGGCCTTCTGTGACTATCTTACTTGGAGTAGTCCCTCCTTTACCCTGCCAGCCCCGCCCACCATCATTCCATGCCATTCTCTTTATGGAGTGTCACACTATCTCACCAGCAGCTCAACTCCTTGACAGCAGGGTTTTTGTCTCTTGTTCTGTTTGTCACCGGTGCCTGACATTTCTCAGAGCCCCCCTCAGGGACAGGGATGGTCCTGTGAGCCCTGAGGGAGCCCCTCCCCAGGGCCAGCCAAGCTTGTGTGGCAGCATGCAGAGACACTGTTTTTTTAACTCCTTGTTTCTAGCTGTCCTTGCCACCCAAGGCACTCAGGGAACTTTGCCCTTTATCAAACCAAGGAGGGGACTCAGGCCCTGTACCTCCCGCTCCCTGCCTGGCGGGCCGCCTTCCCCGGCTCCACACTCAGGGAATTGTCATGCCAGCAAGTGCCGAAGAACAGGGACTGTTTCAATGGGTGGTCATTCACAGCCCTGGGATGGTGCCGCCTTCCTGCCTGCATCCAACAGTGACTCTCAGTGCAGTGACAATGGCCCCATTTTCCCCTCTGGATGAACAAGGGAACTGCTGTTTGCACAAAGGGAAGGCAGGCTGGGGCCTGTCTGCGCTCAAGCATAAACCGTCTGCTTTCTCTGCTGGGCCCTTCATCCTCTCCCTGGCGTGGGCAGGAGAGCTGGCCCTGCGTGTTGTGCGTGGTCGTGGTTGGGGTCCTGGGAGCTTTGGAGACAGCAGTTCCAGTGCAGGGAGCTGGTGCCACAGTTGTCTAATCTGGACAGCAGATTTGTCCCCTTCTTACAGCTTTGGGCAGAGGCCTCCAAGTAAAGCGGACGGGCCTCCAGTTCCGCAAGGCCAGGGCAGCGTCCCGTGCTGGGAGGTTGCTGGAATTCTTTATTTTCTGCGGGGCTGGGGAGGGCGCCCAGAGCCCCCCACATGGGCAAGGGCTCCAGCACTGAGCTGCACTCCCAGCCTGGCGTTGTGTTTTTTAAAAAGTGAAAATTTCCGGGGGCGTAGTCCAGCATATACCTGGCTTGTGGGGGACCCTGTATTCCACCCCTAATGCAAAAATAAAAAACCTTAAAAAAATTATAAAAATTGATTATATTTTCATTTTTTACAGAAGAAAATTGCGGCATGTAACACTCATTTAAAATAAATTAATTTCTGCTCACTCAAGAATTTTGGGCTGCAGTAGCCTTCCGAATTTGTGCAGTGAGGTGTCACTTAAGTTTCTTGTCAACCACCAAGTCATGGCACAGGGTGGCTTGTAATCTGGGTTGTTTCTTCGCCCTGGGGTCCCTTCCAGCAGTATGGCATGATGGAATGTGAGAGGTGGCTCTGTTCTGGAAATTCTCCTCCAATGCCCTGGTCCGTGCAGGTGGCAGGTCCCCGTGCCTTCAGTCCCAGGAGGTCTTGTTACCTCAGCTGGCATTCATGACCCATAGAAGGTCTCTAGCTTGGCAGAGCCCAGGGTCACTTCTCCATTTGGTCCAAATGGATAGGTTTGGTTTGAGGACCAAAAAGCAACCCACAAAAAGATCGGTAATGACAAAATACTGTAACTGGTTCATAAATCTACCAGAAACAGCTTTGTCACAATGTGGTGACATCTCTAAAAATTCGCTCTCAGCTCAGCATTCACCAGCTCTGAAGACCTCCTATTGGACATGGGCCTGGGCAGTTCCTGGGGCCCCAGGACTTTGAGTTCTTTTGAACTTTAATTTCTTAGCGGTTTCATCAACCCTGGCTTTGCTTTGGCTGAGCTGCCCAGTAAATCCCTGAGAGAGGGGCTGGGGATGTGGCTCAGGCGGAAGCGTGCTCGCCTGGCATGCGTGTGACCTGGGTTCGATCCTCAGCACCACATACCAACAAAGATGTTGTGTCCTCCGAGAACTAAAAAATAAATATTAAAAATTCTCTCTCTCTCTCTCTCCTCTCTCACTCTCTCTTAAAAAAAAAAAAATCCCTGAGAGGGAAAGGGACCTGCCCGGGGCCACACAGCAATCAGGTCTTCTCTCTGCCCAGGACTGCCTATTCCCCTGGGCTGTAGCCTCTCTCTCTTCCCTGTGACCAGCAAGAGTCCCTGCTTGTCTAGGCCTGGCTGTAGCCCAGGCCTGGACCTCATGGGGCTGATCTCAGCACCACCATCAGCCTCAGCACGTGGAGAGTTAACAGCTGGGCCCCTCCCAGTCTCCAGAGCCACCACCCTTAGCAACGGTCTTGCCAGGCAGGACGCAGACCTAACACAGAGCAAAGTCAGCAGGACTTGGAGACAGACACAGGCCAGCCAAGCAAGTGTGGGTTGATTGGCAGCTTGAAGCCTGTGCCTGGCTAGCTGGGTGGGAAGTCCCAAGTGCCCACAGACCCGACCCAGAATGGATGCCGTGGATGCCACTGTGGAGAGGCTGCGGGCACAGTGCCTGTCCCGAGGGGTCTCAGGCATCCGGAGCTTGGCCAGGTGACGGGGTCTTCTGCAAACCTTCCAGACTCCATCCAGCCCTGAGGTTGGCTGCCATCTAACCATAACCACCCCCCCACCCCCAGGTTTTTCCGTCGCCTGGACCAGGATGGGAGCCGAGCGCTGGATGCCAGGGAGCTCCAGCGGGGCCTGGCAGAATTGGGTATGTTGCTGGATGAGGCCGAAGCAGAGGGTGTGTGCAAGCGCTGGGACCGTGATGGCAGCGGGACACTGGACCTGGAGGAGTTTCTGCGGGCCCTGAGGGTGAGGCCCACTTCTGGGTATCCAAGGACACAGTCAGCGAGGCTGACTCACCCCTAAGGATTGCTATCAGGAAGCGCCCATCGGGGTGACATCCTGTCCTGACAATCTTGGGGGGTGTGTGTGCTGGGGACACCCTACCCTCTTCCTCCAGTCACCACCACCTCCTCCCCCAGCCCCCCATGTCCCAGGCTCGGGAGGCAGTCATTGCAGCTGCCTTTGCCAAGCTGGACCGCAGCGGGGATGGCGTGGTGACTGTGGACGACCTCCGTGGAGTGTACAGTGGTCGCGCCCACCCCAAGGTGCAGAGTGGGGAGTGGCGGGAGGACGATGTGCTCCGCTGCTTCCTGGACACTTTCGACTCCTCCGAGAAGGATGGGCAGGTGGGTGGATGCCCATGCAGGGCTCTCCTCCCCCCAAGGTGGTGTCCAGCCTTGGCCCCCCAGTCACAGCCTGTCTGCCCACAGGTCACGCTGGCAGAATTCCAGGACTACTACAGTGGCCTCAGCGCCTCCGTCGACACAGATGAGGAATTTGTGGCCATGATGACCAGGGCGTGGCAGCTGTGAGCAGACTGCCCTCGCTCAGCTGGTGCCCACAGCCGAGGACCCCTCCCACCGGCCAGAGCCGGGGCCCCTCCAGACAGCCCCAGCAGGGACACGAGTGGGATTTGAGTGGGTGTGGAATCCACAAGAACTGAGCCTGAGGAATTGGTGGGACCAGGCCTCCTGCTGGGCCACCAGGTAGATGTGGGACAAAAGTTCCAAAGGTCACTGGCTCTGGACCCCAGGGCCGCTTGTTGACCATGGCCCCAGTCACTGCAGGTACCCCCAACTCCCTCCCCTGTGAATCCCGTAGAGAGCCAGGTGACCCCTGAGGGGGAAGCAAACAGCAGGTCCAAGTGGAGGCCCAGCATGGAGGCCAGTCTTGGGAGGCGGTCTGGACTCCTGCCCAGGTGTGGAGTGCGGCGGAAGCTGTTCCTGGCTGGGCTGCCTGGCTTCCTGAGGCCTCTGGGGCATGCAGGAGGCTGGGGTTTTAGTTAAAAGTTTTAATGTAGTTCCCAAATACATTTCATATGACAATCTTACATAAATGTTCCAAAACACATGGGCATTGTCTGGTTTTCCTTGTCACTAGTTGGCTAAGGCGTAAAGCAGAGAAGTGTGACCGGATCTCCTGGGCAGGCCTCTGGTGTCTCCCCTGGCTCAGGCTTGCAGGGGGCTGGGCAGTGCAGACCCATGGAGCCACCCTGGCCCTGGGGCTTCTGGCTGCCCCTGGAGGTGTGGGTGGCACAGCTGCAAATCGAGGCCTCCTCTTCACCCCCGGGGCGCTGGGGGGGGGCAGGGCTGGGGGATTTCCCCTAAAGTCCTGAGGAGCCTTGTGCACAAGATCCACCTCCTCTATGGGCTGCCCTACGGGTGGTACCCAGGCACCCACTCCTGTATGCTGTGTGCATGGGGACAGTGTACTGTCTGGGACCTGGTCCCCATGGCTAGCTAGGGCCCCGCTGCCTCTCCCAGAGGTCCCAGCCCATTGTGAGGGTATGATGTCCAGGGCTGTGCAAGGATTGGCCCACAGCAGGAAGCAGGCTGGCGCCAGGTGCCCGAGGAGAGATGGATCACATGATGTGGACGGGGAAGAGGCTACTAGGGGTCCCTGGGGCCCCTCCCAGGCTCCGTGGCCTTTTTTTAGATAGGCATCTCCAGACCTAGGCCAGATGGAAGCAGACACCCCACCACCCCGTGACTCAGCTTACAGGAACCCAGGTGGGCAGAGTGGGGGCCTACTGACCCCGGCTCAGAGGCCAGGACCACAAGAACAAGCAAGCCCTCAAGGAGCTGTGCCTGCTCAGCGCAAGAGAGCAACTCAATCCCAGAACTGAAAACAGAGCCTTTGGAAATTAAAAAAAAAAAAAAAATTGTAAAATATAAACCCATCAAATCAGAATATGGGAGACAAAGAGCCACACAGAGCACCCAGGCCCTGTGCTGGCTCCAGGCAGGTGCCACCCATGCAGGAGGGAGGGTGCGGTGGCAGGGGGGCCAGAGGCCCTTGCTGCACCCAGAGGCTGCAACACGCAGGGTGAAGAAACCAGGTCTCCCAGTCCCAGTGAGAAGCTGTGACAAGTCTTAATGTGCCATTCAGAGGAGGGGCAGGGAGGAACGTTCTTTTTTTTTTTTGCTCATCAATATGATGAGGTCTCATGTCCCAAACCACATCCAGGCAGCTCCCGAGTGAGTCTGCTTTCCAACGGACGCAGATCCAGACTGTGGTCAACCCGGTGGGTGTGGCTCCGCCCATGGTGCCGCTGCCTGCGGGGAGGGGGCGGGCAGCAGACAGACGACCAAGCAGCAGCCTCCTGTGCGCTGGCTGCTATGTGCTCCCAGGCGTCTGCCCGTCACCTTCCTCACCTGCGCCTGCGGGAAGAGCAGCGTCACCTTGGGGCCAGTTCTGGCTCGGCCCACATGGGCCGGGAGGTCAGCTCTGGGCCCCTCCTGGGCAGGCAGTGCCTGGCTCACCGGCCCCGGCAGCCCCCGAGGGAGCCAGCACATCATCATCGCTGTCGTCCTCCTCGTGGGATGGGGCGGCCCCAGGCTCAGGGGCGGGCATCTTGGCCTCTTGTTCCTGCTCCACACGGCTGCGAAGGGCCAGGATGCGGTGGTGCAGGGCAGCGTACAGCTGGCCTGTGTCCTTGGAGCTGGC